GGTGGAAGCAACCAAGGTGTCTACTGATGGATGAAATAAACAAAATGTGGCATAAAGAGGCAACGAAATAGTATTCAGCTGGAAAAAGAAGGACATTCTGACACACACTCTAACATGGATGAACCTTAAAGACATTATCCTAAGTGAAAAAGCCACTCACAGAAAGACAAGGGCTGTATGATTCCATTTATATGAATTACCTAGAGAAGTCAAACTCAGACAGATAGTAGAAAGGAAGGTGTCAGGAAGTAGGGGAAAGGGGAAATGGGGAATTTTTAATGGGTGGGGAGTTTCAGTTTTGCAAGATAAAAACAGTTCTAGAGATTGGTTACATAACAATGTGAAAGTACTTAACACTAACTGCTGTACACTTAAAAACAGCTCAGAGGAAAAATTTTGTTATTTCACCACAGTTTTTTTAAAGAGGAGAAAAAAATAACATTCAGAGGAAGAAAGATACATTAGATATAGGATTCTAACAATAAAAATAACAGCTCACCTCTCAACAAAAACAATGAAGGGCAGTATATAATGACATCCTTTAAAACGCCAAAAGAAAATAAAACCACCATTCCAGAATTTTATATCCAGCAAGATATCTCCCCAAAACGAAGCTGAGGTGCGCCTGGGTGGCACGGATGTTTAGCGACTGACTCTTGGTTTCGGCTCACGTTGTGACCTCGGGGTAGTGAGACTGAGTTCTGCGTAGGGCTCTGTGCTCAGTGGGGAGTCTGCTTGAGACTCTCGCTCTCCTTCTCCCTCTGTTCCTTTCCCCCCACGCATGTGCGCTCTCTCTCGAATAAGTAAATAAATCTTAAAAAAAAAATGGTGAAATGCAGGTATTTCCAGATAAGTGGAAACTGGGAAAACATGTCACAAGGTGACTCAGATGGTAAGAAATGATAAAGGAAGCTCTTCATGCTGAAGAGAAAACCAGGTGGAAACCCCACTAGGCAATGTTTAATATTTGTTTGCAACAGTCACATATACTAACGAACTGAGGAGGGAAAATTATGCAGATATTTACTATTTCTGCTGCTGTTCCTTCATTCCTGAAGGTTTTAGTTTCCTCTGGTGCTATTTTGCTTCAGCCTGAAGAACTTCCTTATCAGTTCTTTAAATCAGATCTCTCGGAAATTCTCTTGTTTTTCTTTCATTTGGGAATCTCTTCATTCCTAAAGGATAATTTTTCAGGATATAAACTTGTGGGTTGACAGTTTTTCTTTTCTTTCATGTTTATGGAATATTGTTATAATACAGGCTTTTGAATTTGTGTCTGTTAATTCTAACATGTAGGTTATGGTGGGGTTGGCATTTGTGCTTTCCCTTGAGAACTGGTTACATTTTGCTGGTTCTCTGTATGCTGAGAAATTTTGTATTATACATCCTTAGTATTGTGCTATGATGTTGTGTAGATGCTGGGTTCTGTTATAATCCTCTGGAGAATGTGGATGTTTTTGTTTTGCAGGCAATCACTGTGGTTAGATTCAGGATGCAAGATCCGTCTCTCCTTCTGTGTGTGGTGGTGCAGATCTCAGCTTAGTTCACAAAGCCTTTGTTATGCTGGTTTGGTCTGTCCCACACGTGTGCAGCTCACAGTGAGCCTGAGACGTGTGTGGTTTCACACCCAGAATGAGGAAATCCGTTCTCCAGCTCTCTTCACTCTGGGTACTCCACTCCTTTCCAGCCCCCAAAGGGCTCCTCTTCTGATTCCTCTACCAAGAAAGATGGGGTTTCGGGGCGCCTGGGTGGCTCAGTCGTTAAGCGTCTGCCTTCGGCTCAGGTCATGATCCCAGCATCCTGGGATCGAGCCCCGCATCGGGCTCCCTGCTCAGCGGGAAGGCTGCTTCTCCCTCTCCCACTCCCCCTGCTTGTGTTCCCTCTCTCACTGTGTCTCTGTCAAATAAATAAATAAAATCTTTTTTAAAAAAAAAAAAAGAAAGATGAGGTTTCTATCACATTTCAGCTGTCTGCCCCAATGGGCTGCTGTGTGAGTGGGCCCGTCCTCAGGGCAATTCCACGAGATACAGAGGATTCACCTCTATATTGTTGCCATCTTCAAGTTTTGCTCCCCTTTATAACTTGCCTCATTTTATTTTTATAGAATCAAAACGATTACAGGGCAATTGTGTTTTGTCCGTAGTTTTTACTTGTGATCAGTGGGAGGGGCAGTCTGTAGTGTGCTTCTGCCACCACACAGGGACTGGCACTCCCCAGTGATTTTTTTAGAGTTTCTGTCTCCTAAATTTCACCATCTCTTCACTGTATCCAGCCCTACTCCTTAATACCATAGATTAAAGCTATTGACACACTTGATGTCTTTGTATGCGGCTAGCTCCTTTTTTTTTTTTGAGAGAGAGAGAGAGAGTGCAACGCAAGCAGGGGAGGGGCAGAGGGAGAGAGAATCCTAAGTAGGCTCCACATCAGGGTGGAGCCCGATGCAGAGCTAATCTCAGGACGATGAGATCATGACCTCAGCTGAAATCAAGAGTTGGATGCTCAAGCGACTGAGCCACCTGGGCGCCCCCCTCCTAGCTCCGTTTAAGAGTTAAATCTCTTTCAGTTTCTGTCTGCTTTGTGATTGCTCTTCAGTGCCTTCAAACAGTTGTTTTTTTATATTGTGTCCGGATTTTCTAATTGTTACAGTATGTTTAGTATCATGTAAACTACTCCAATACTTCCAGAAATTATATGGTGTTTCTAGACCAAAGAAAGCTTCCTTCCCACCCTCCATTACTTGGGAATTCTGTTAATGTTGTTTGAACTTATTTTTTCCAAAAATCTCCAAGATCCTGCTCATCCCTCTCCTGTTCCCACACCCACACAAGTGAAAGCAGACACAGAGAAAAGCACAGCTTGGTCAGGGCCCCACACTAAAGCTGCTTCCCCAACCGCAGATCAGTTTTGTCTCCCCTATTATGTTCTCTCTATATAACACAGATTTGCTTGGATATTTTTTATGTACCTACTATATGCCCTTGGTCCCGTCTTCAAAGTGCAGCAATATATTAATACAAATATCCATACAATGAGGCAGAGAGTTCCAAATGCCATGAGAGAGAGAGAATAAAAAACGGTTGTGGGAAATCAGAGAAGTGGATTTCAGCTAGGCAAATTAACAGAGGTTTTAGCGAGGAGGGGGGTGTGCAGAGAGTGGGCCCTAACTGCTAATTCAAGCAGAGACATTTATATATCTGTTCTCTGCTGCTCCTGCGGCATCATGGGAGTGGAGGTGGTAGTAGTTGTTAGTATTATATAAAGCCTTCTACTTAAAGTGTGACCCATAGACAAGCTCTGGAATTTAGCAGAAAGGCAGGATCTCAGGACCCACTGCAGGCCTACTGAATCAGAGTCAGCATTTTAACCAGATCCCCAGATATTACGTATGTATTCTGAGGGTGAGAGGCATTAACAGAAAGTACACTTTCAAGAGAACGATGATTTTAAGACCTCACCTTCTCTACTCTGAGGCAAAGATGTGTGAGGTGGGTGGCGGCGGGGGGGGGGGGGGGCTGGGCCCAAGGAGAACAAATGCTCCTGAGTACTGAGGATGTGCTCGGGTCACTGTGCTCATCAGGAAGCCTTAGAAGGAGTTATTTCCATTCGGCAGGTCAGGAAATAGAAGCTCAAGGAGGTTCAGTACGTGGCCCAAGATCACAAAGAAAGTGGCAGAACCTGAATTTGGACCTGTATCTGATGGATTCCAAGTCTGTAAATGCTTTTAGTCTCCGCACCCTGCATGTCTGGTGTAGATCCAGGAGCCTCAGTGCTGTTTACGGCGCTGCCGCAAACTCGTTGGGTGATCTCAGCTCTTCTGGTCTAAGTGGACGGAGTTTGAACCAGTTGAAAGTTCACAAACATGAATCCCGCGGCCTCAGGAAAATGGGTATTTGAGGCAACCTTAAGATAGAGTGCTGGGAGTGCATGCTGTGTGCTGGTCCCAGAAGCAGGGTAATACGGTGTGGAGCACAGGACCAGGGATGAAGAGCCCTGGGTTCTAGTCCTGCCTCTGTCACGCGGTAGCTGGGAGCCTCATTTTCCTCATCTAGGAAATGGACAGAAATGATCTATATTGGCTCTCTCTCAGTGCATTTGACTGGTTCGAGTAAGATTCTGCTTGAAAATGTTCTATGATGTGATACACTAATACAGTCAGTTCTCTAATTGCCTTAGTTTTCATAACACAAATTAGATATTTCTAAATTAATTGAGAAATAGGATTTGTCATCTGCTGCCCATGCTAGCAAGTGGGAACTAGCTTTGGCAAAGCCCATCACCTCTGTGCTTGTGTTTGCCCTAACAACGGAAATAAAAGGCAGCAAAAATATGGACAGACTCCGCGCCTGTGAGAGAGCTAGTGGTGTTAGAACTACAAAGACCATTATTCTAGAGCAGAGAGTCCTTGCTCTAGAACTTTCTGTGGTGATGAAATGTTTCCTTATCTGTGCTGTCCGCTAGGGTAGCCGCTAGCCACACTTGGCGACTGGGAATTTGAAATGTGGCCAGTGCAACTGAGGAACTTCATTTCAAGTTTTATCTTATTTGAGCCCATTCAAATTTAAACACGTGGATAGTTAACTACCACACAGAACAGTGCAGCCCTAGAGCACAAGTGAGATACGGATATGTTCAATATTGTAAGACTTTATACTCTTCTTACCAACAAGTAAATTGATGTGTTTTTTTCCCCAATTCTGAAACTCTAGCCCCTAATGCCTTCCCCCCCCAGATTAAACAAAACATTTTTATAGCATGATTCCTGATAATGGGAGGTTCCTCTGGAATCTAATTATCACCGCACAGCAACACAGCTGATACCAGCACAATGTGAGGCTTACCCAGGCAAAAGAATGAGGCTTTGTTAATAAATACATCTGTTCGCCTGAGAAAATATTTTACTCCCTTGTCTTTAAAATTAAAAACAGTACGACTGCAAGCCACCGGGCCCTGTGAGTGGCCGTGCGACCCACCGGTGCTCACGGCGGTCTCCTATCTCCTACCTTGCGTTCTCCGCTCTCCGGCTGATGCACTGATGCAAGTAGAGATACTCCTGAGGCGCACTGGTGGACAAGGCGGGCTGCATGTGGTTGGACACCGGGGGTTCGAAGGTGAACAGCGTGGGCTGGCTGGAGTGCGATGGGGCTGAGGACTTCCGTTCTCGGAGAAGGTGCTGACTGGAGCTGCTGAGCTCGGCTGGAGAAGAGCGGGGGCCGTGACTGGTGGAGGAGAGGTTTCTCAGGGAGTCTGGGAAACAAAAGGAGGAGCTCTGTGACTGAAAAAGGGAAGAAAGGTGTCCTTCTCCCCAAGTGGGCTGTCAGAGGAAGAAAAGATATTATGAGCAGAGGCAATGATCCAGCAGCAGCCTTCTCTCCCCCTCACACACCTGCCCCTTCCCTGCCTCCGGAGAGGGAGGACTGTGGCTGCCTGGCAGAAAAGGAGATGCCCCGTGCCTCTGCGACGCTCCTGGAGTCGCCTGGGGGCCGCTCCGGGTCACAACCTTGACGGTATTCGCCCAGATCCCGGGAGGTGTGGCTTGCCCCGGCACGGGAGTGGGACTCCGGCGCTCCCGCCAGGCCAGCCCTTGGAGCAGTAAGTGCCACTGCCTTCCTCCTCTTGGGAAGCTCCTGCGTCATCACCTCCATCAAAGCACAGGCTGACTTTGTTAAATGAGCTTTGCTTCCTGGAGACTCACTAGGTCAGACCCTGGACTGTGTGCCTTACCGCATTAAGGATAAAAGCACACATGTATCTGGAGCAGACTGTCCCGTAAGACTGGTCCCAGCTCCTCCTACCCCGCTCTTCCAAGTCCTCTTGAGGACAACAATGGTCCCCATTCCCCAACTCTTATGCCCACCACTCTGTGTCAATTGATCTTTTTTCCCCTTAACTCTCCTCTTAAACTCCCCTCTGTTGTGCTAGAAAAGAAGCAGGGTATTAAAGACAGATCACAGCTGAAAGTGCTACCCCCCCAAGCCAAGGGCATTACTCATTTGGCTCGTTCTCCAAGCCTAGTCCAAGTTCCTGAGCCTAACGCAAAGGCCTTTGACAGTCTCACCTACTTCCTGCTTTTCTCCTCCCGGACCCAAGGCATGCGGAAGCTTCATCAGTCCTCAGGCACACCAGCCCCTTTTATGACTCTTTCTTATGGGCTTCGGCTCTTCCTTGGATTTCACTTCTACTCTACTGGCACTCACATGCGGACTTTAAGACCCTACACGGATATCATATTCTCTCTGAAACCTTCCTGGATGCGGTCCTTTTTCTGGCTGCCAATAGCACTTGGCCCATGCTTCATTATATCCACAGTCCCTCTGCCTCCTCGCCTAGCCCATGAGTCTCTAAGATAGTGACTGAGGCTGTTGCGCCTATGGTCCCAGGATTTACCCAATAAAAGCCAGGTGCACAGAAAGTTCTTAGTCTGTGTTTGTGGAACAAGCAAAAATGTTCGTTCGGCATACAGTAATTCCACAGTGAAACTTCTTGTTCAAGAGAAATAAAGATTTAAAGATGTGATTTCTGGTGATGTGACAGCCGGTGGGGTGTGATGGTTCAGTGGTGGTGTGGTGGCTTGCTAGGCTATTTGAATCTTTTCTGTTTCTACTCCCCGTTATCTGACCTATTTTTGTACCCTTCTCATGGCCCCAGGATCACCAGCTCATTAGCGCTCTATCAGGTTAACTACTCTCCAGGCTTCTCTGATGCTAGGCAGAACAACTTCCGCCCGCGTCCAATGGAGAAAGCCACGGGCCTCGGGGGAAGAACAGTGCCGTCGACAGCTGTATTGACCTCCAAAATGAACTCCCATTACAGGTCTGGTAGTGAACTGGATGTTTGTTAACAGAATCAATGGCTTCATTACTCCATTAGATTTGCAAGATGAACTCTCTAATGGCAGAGGGGGGAAGGTTTATGCTCGGGCATGAAGTAGCCATGGTGCCGGGGTGAACACAGCTACTGCCTGAGAAGACACAGGGAAGGTGCTAAGAGAAAGCCTCTGGGGGCATTTCTACCTTTCCCGTAGTCTTTTTGGATCCCTCCACCTCTGCCATCCCTTCAGTGGGGGCATTTTTCATAGTTCCAGCCTGGACCCTCCTACAGCTTCACTCACTCAGGAGACTCCCCTGGGCTAATGTTCTCCAGCCAGGTGATGACACTCTCGAAACTCAGTCTTTAGCTCAGTTCTCTATCCTGGGCTCTTGTCCTATAACCCTCTGCCTGCTGGGCATCTCCATTCAGACGTCCCACAGGCAGGTCAAGCTCAGCGATCCTCCTCCTGTGTTCTCCCTCTCCATGAAGTACATCAACGCCACCATCCAATTGGTTCTGAGCCAGAAACCTAGGCATTATCTAGGACTCCGCTTCTCAACGACCACGCCACGTCATTATGTCGTCACCTGGCTGCAAATTCTTCAGTGGATCCCTGTTATCCTCAGGATGACCTACAAAGCTCTCTCTTTTTAAAACCATCTTCTTATTTCTTCAGCCTTGTTTCTGACCAGTCCTTCCTTGTGTTTCACACAGAATTTTAGGAAGACAGTAACCTTTCTCTCTCATCACTCCATACATTCGGCTGTAAACTCAGTGAGGGCGATACTGTCTCTTCTCTTAACAGTTTCATCCCTGGCATCAAGCCCAGGGTGTGACCCAACTCCATAAATACATGTTGATTAATAAAATAATGAAATACACAGCATGAGGTCATACTCCCTCCATACCGCTGATTCCTCACTGCCTCTAGAATCAAGTCCAGGTTCCCAAGTCCAACAAGAAAGACCATTCTGTCACAATCTACTTATCCCGCCTGTCACCCCCTACACCCTGCGTGCCCCCTTCACTTCATGCTTTGAGCTGTGGGTCTGTATAAAAGAAGAGTGACCTGTTCTCACAGCTGGGGCCCTCTGACCCAGGCTCTTGCAGAGCTGGAGAAATCATTTCACTTCTCTGAGCCTCAGTTTCCTTATTTACAAGTTGACAGAGGATGGTCACAAGGATGGAATGCATAAAGGGTTGAGACAATCTGGCATCTTTTAAGTTCTCAAAATGTGTTCTAGGCATTTCTGTATTCCTGGTGCCTAAAACAGTCTCAGCTCACTGTGGGTATTGAATATATAGTTGCTGAATAAATAAAAGAATTTTCACTAGCACAAAACCAAATATGCCTGTTTCTTGTGGTCAAAATAAGAGGGGCTTTCGAGGTCTGCTAATAAGATGAAGTAGGGATTACGATGAGTTGGGCCCACTTGGAATTCCATTCTATAAATATGAAGCCATGTCTATGAAATCAGTCAGTTCCATAATGATCGGCAGCTTCAGAAAAATTCTTTCAAAGCTGTTTTGGTGCTAAACCTTGCCAAAATCTCACTTCTGCTTGCTACTTTAAAAGATTTCTACCTGAATGTAGGTAATTATTCCTTAGGGTCTATACTGGATTGAACAGTGTCCCCCCAAAACTCATGTCTCCATGGAACCTCAGGATGTGACCTTGTTTGAAAATAGGGTCTTTGCAGATCTAATTAGTTAACATGAGGTCATACTGGATCAGGGTAGGTCCTAATCTACTGATGGGTAACTTATAAGAACAGCAAACAGACAGAGATATATAAGGAGAAGATCGTGTGATGACAGAGGTAAAGACTGGATAAACAATGTGATATAGCTATATAATGGAATATTATTCAGCCATCTAATGAATGAAGTACTGATACATGCTACAACATGGATGGATCTTCAAAACTACGCTAAGTGAAAGAAGCCAGCGATAAAAGGCTACAGATTGTAATGATTTTATTTATTTTTTTTAAAAGATTATTTATTTATTTATTTATTTGACAGAGAGAGACACAGCGAGAGAGGGAACACAAGCAGGGGGAGTGGGAGAGGGAAAAGCAGGCTCCCCGCAGAGCAGGGAGCCTGATGCGGGACTCGATCCCAGGACCCCGGGATCATGACCTGAGCCGAAGGCAGTCACTTAACCGACTGAGCCACCCAGGCGCCCGTAATGATTTTATTTATGTGAAATGTCTAGAATCAGCACATCCATAAAGACAGCAAGTAGACTAGTGGTTGCCCGGGGATGGGGGTGGGATGGAGAAGTGACTGCTAATGAGTATGGGGTTTCTATCTGAGGTAATGAAAATGTTCCAACATTAGATGGTGGTGATGGGTACACAACCCTGTGAATATACTGAAAAACAATGACTTTAAATGGGCGATATATGAAAGTGAAATTAAAAAACATACACACACATGCATAAACACTTTCACAAAGTATGAAGTATTAAGTCTGTGCAAGAGATGAATGGTTTAATTAAATACATCTGACCTTTAGTTTATTTCCTCTCTAAAGAGAATGCTGAACACTCAGTAAATACCAAGTCCTTACTAAAGTAGATTGAGTAAGGGACACTCTCCCTTTCCTACCTTCAGTTCCCTGCACCTCCTCCAACCCCAATGCTCAGGGCTTTACTCCACAATCATAGCAAGGCAGTGGGTATTTCAGCAAAACAAAATAGCAAGAACTCCTTGGGGTCAAAAGACCCAAAGTGTAAAAGATGAACGAGATATTGGTGTGAAAACAAATGCGCACACTCGCATAAAACGTGCATAGGATTTGTTTTTATTGCCTGGGTACCCCTTGAGGGAAGAAAAGAATGAAAAAAGACATTACGCTATGTGCGGCTGGGCTGTTTTTGGTATGTGGCCATCAGGCTGTTGTAATGATGTGTCTTGGGTCATTAGGAAGGGCAGTTATACAGCAAGAAGAAAATGGACATTTCCAGACTTCTGGCCTGGGCTTCCATCTCCAAGTCTAGACTAAAGATAATGCCAGAAAATGCTTGAGTCAAATTTGTTTTCTTTTAAACAGGGTTTTATTTTTTCCTCTTCTCCCTGGCTTCTTTTTAGGGCCCTAAAAATCACTCCCCTTCCTTTCCACAATCACCCCTGGGAAGGCTGCCCAGCACACAAACACTCCGCCCATCTTCTTGCAAAACTCTAGAACAGGAAAGCTCTGAAGGATTTTAGTAGAGGGGCCCAGCCCAGCCCAGCCCAGCCATCAACTGGCTAGTGATAACAGGAGCAGGAAAGGGGCGGTTGGCGGGAGTTTCTGGAAAAGATGACTGGCCAAATAATGACGGGTTCCTTTATCTTAATGCCCTTTTTATCTTTATCCTTTCCCCCCCCAAATCCCCACCCAAGCCTCAGTGGGTGTCAGAACCCATGAAGTGGTAGACCGAATCACATGC